GAAAATGTGATCGGTGGAAAATGTCGAAATGCGAAGAGATCGCGAAAACATGACAAACGAGCGTAGAACGTGAAGAAATGGACAAAAAAGGAGAGGGAAAAAGCTCTAGAGAAGGAGAGCAAAGATTCGGCGTGAGAGAAAGAGAAAATAGGTTTAAAACCCTATTTTATAACACCAAGGTGAAAAGACAAACTGCCCGCCACCAGCAACTGTTTGGCGAGTCGGCAATGTTTTGTGCCGGCCGGCACTTTTTTTGTGCGATAGAATTGTTTTTGTGCGGTGGCAGCGGTGCCCTTCTCCCTTTCGCCGGTGGGTTCCCACAGCCTTGTTTAGGGCCATTATGCGAGAAGTTTGTGGTCTTCATAGCTCAAGAAAGTGCAAGAAAGTGCATCTTCGACGCTCAACCGGCCTGCCGTTCTGACCGCGGCAGTATCTTCCAGTGCGTGGCGCTCGAATCGTGGCAAGGTGTATTTCCTTTTTGTATCCTTTTAAATTCAAAAGTTGCCCCATGTGTGTTGCCGAGTTCATCACACTTACTTCGGCGCAGTTGCATCGCGCTGTCGCGCGCCACACATTTGCTTGTTATGCACGTGTTACATGCGTGCAACACGCACCCTTTGGCATTGTCGTGCAAATCTCCCATGCCATCATCATTGCATTTCCATCCATGCATTGTCATTGCATTCCGGAATACGGCGTTAGTTGCGCAGTTAAGCCCATTACATTCCGTGTGCATACGTGTCGCACTTAGCATCGCACTGTTTTGTGCATTTCAAACTTCGCGTTGTTCCTGCCGCATCGCCACTGATTTTGTGCATTCAAATTTTCACGCTGTTATGCGCATCGCACATGTTTTGGCATTTCAAACTTTCGCGCTGTTCCTGCGGGCATCGCCACGTTTGTGCATTTCAAAAAATTGTTCACGCTGTTCTGCCGCATCGCACTTAGTTGTGCATTTCAACCGTTCACGCTGTTTTGTGCACGCATTCCGCTGCGCGGGTTTTGCGCATCTCGTCATACCTGGTAGACCGCATTTTGATTTCGTAGACCGCATGTTAATTACATTAATGCGTAGACCGCATAATTGTTAAATCCATTACCTGCGAGACCGCATTTTTTGATTGCGTAGACCGCATGTTAATTACATTACTTGCGTAGACCGCATGCTAATTTCATTACCTGCCGTAGACCGCATGTAAACTGCTTGCTGTAACCGCATGTCATACATTACCTGCGTAGACCGCATGTTTTATCATCTCCATTACCTGCGTAGACCGCCATGTTTTGATTGCGTAGACCGCATGTATCAATTTTTCATTACTTGCGTAAGACCGCATGTTTAAATCCATTACTGCGTTAGACCGCCATTTTTCTTGCGTAACCGCAAATTGTTCAAATCCATTACTGCGTAGACCGCATTGTTTTGATTGCGTAGACCGCATGTATCAATTTCATTACTTGCGTAGACCGCATGTTTGCTATGCGTAGACCGCCATAATTGTTCAAATCATTGCCTGCGTAGACCACATGTTTGATTGCGTAGACGCATGTTAATTACATTACTTTGCGTAGACCGATATTGTTTAATCCATACTGGCGTAGACCGCAGTTTTGATTGCGTAGACCGATGTATCATTTCATTACCGCAGTAGAGACCGCATGTTTGATTGGTAGACCGCATGTTTGATTGCGTAGACCGCATGTTAATTACATTACTTTGCGTAGACCGCCATGCTTAATTCATTACTGCGTAGACCGCATGTATTGCTGCGTAGACCGCATGTTCATGTACATCCTGCGTAGACCGCTGTTTGTAATCATCTCCACTTAACCTGCGAGACCGCATGTTTTTGATTGCGTAGACCCGCATTGTATCAATTTCATTACTGCGTAGACCGGGGGGGCCCCCCATTGTTTTTTTTTGCTGCGTAGACCGCTGGTTAATCCATTACTGCGTAGACCGCATGTTTTGCTTGCGTAGACCGGCATAATTGTTCAAATCCATTACCTGCGTAGACCGCCATGTTTTGATTGCGTAGACCGCATGTATCAATTTCATTACTTGCGTAGACCGCAGTTTTCTTGCGTAGACCGCATAATTGTCAAATCCATTACCTGCGTAAGACCGATGTTTGATTGCGTAGACCGCATGTGAATTACATTACTTGCGTAAGACCGCATAATTGTTTTAAAATTCCGATTACCTGCGTATACCGCATGTTTGATCGCGTTAGACCGCATGTTTAATTTCATTACCTGCGTAGAATCGATGTTTTTTGACTGCGTAGACCGCATATTTGCTATATCATCACCTTGCGTAGACCGCATGTTCATGATCACCCCCCCCCCCCCCCCCCCCCCCCCCCCCCCCCCCCCCCCCCCCCCCCCCCCCCCCCCCCCCCTTTTTTTTCTTTTCCCCCCCCCCCCCCCCCCCCCCCCCCCCCCCCCCCCCCCCCCCCCCCCCCCCCCCCCCCCCCCCCCCCCCCCCCCCCCCCCCCCCCCCCCCCCCCCCCCCCCCCCCCCCCCCCCCCCCCCCCCCCCCCCCCCCCCCCCCAACCCCCCCCCCCCCCCCCCCCCCCCCCCCCCCCCCCCCCCCCCTATTTTCCCCCCCCCCCCCCCCCCCCCCCCCCCCCCCCCCCCCCCCCCCCCCCCCCCCCCCCCCCCCCCCCCCCCCCCCCCCCCCCCCCCCCCCCCCCCCCCCCTTCCCCCCCCCCCCCCCCCCCCCCCCCCCCCCCCCCCCCCTATTATTGTTGACCGCGTAGGACCGCATGTTCACTTACCTGTCTGTATTTTCACGAGCATTGTCATGCTCCCCACTGCTTTGCGCTGTCACGGCATTTCGAGTAGCACTTACATTTGCATTGTCATGATGTTGCTAACCATTTGACCTGTTAAGTTTTGTTTCTTTGCAGAACACGATATGGTATGTCGGTTATTTGAAGCTGGTGCAACCAGACGAGCCGCACAGGTATTGTACTCCCGAGTGAGAGTATGAGAATTCCATAATTCTTGCTTACATCCTTTCTGCATGTAGTGTAGTTTGGGAATGCTAGCTAAAATTGTCAGCTTGTTTGCTCATACAGCGTTCTTTGCATATTATAAGTTATGTCGGCTCGTTGCATTGTCTTGCATTTTGCCCCTGCTTCGGGCGCATATCTTTATTTGTCTTGTATGTGTCTGAGTTTCGGCCTTGTCAAAATGGGCTGTCCTGGCTTTGACATTCACTTCCCGTCATTGTTATGACTTTCGAAAGTTCTGTCAAAGAGGGCAACTGTAGACACCCCATTTTTGACGCCTCAAGACCGGAGTCATCGTTTGAACACTCGGTGATTATCCATGTTTGTGTTCGTTTTGGAGCTTCCGGAGGCTTCGGCTCGCGCGCCTTGCCTCAGGATCTCGAGCTCGACCGTTTAGTGTCTGGTTTGCACCAAAACATTGCATCTTGCCCTTGAGAGGCAGGGGATAGGGTGGCTTGTAGACCATCCCCACCCACCACCGGCATTGGCTAGATGCCACCGGCTGGTTTTTGCTGCCACCGGCAATATAGTTTGCCGGCCGGCACTATTTGTTGCCGGTCAGCACTTTTTTGTGCCGGTCGGCACTGTTTTTGGCCAAGATGGCATTTTTTGCTGGCCGGTTACTGTGCAGTTGCTTTTTGAGATATTTTTAGGCAGCTGTATTGCAGTGACTTTCCCTCCATACACGTGTATGGAGGGATCTCCCTCTATTGTAGCTTGTCTTGTAAGCTTTACAAGAGACATATAGAGAGGAGCTCTCTCTCTAAGGCAAAGGAGGGAGACAAGGTTAGACTTAGGATATTTTGGAGAGCAAAACAGCCATTGTTGAGCTCTTGTTCTAGGGTTTGAGTTACATACATTTTCTATCTATCTTTCCCTCTCTTTTGTTCACTAGGTGCTTTGTGTCTTACTATTGCACACAAACACCTAGTGTTTCACCTTCCTCTTGGAGCTGAGGTTCTAAAGGGCTTGTTTTGAGATTTTGGTGTTGGATTCAAGCTCAAGGAGGCCATTGGAGCACCATTCGTGAAGGGGTCTTCAAGGGTGAGATTCTAGTCCTTTTTTTCCCCACTTCAAGGGTGAGATTCTAGTCCTTTTTTTTCCCCATTCTTGCATCAATTTTACACCTATCTTAGAGCTGTTTTTGTGCTTATTGTATAACATAATAAAGTTCTATTTTTAGGCCCTCTTTATTGTTTATTAAGAGTGTTTTGTTGTTTGATGGTTGTTGACCACCCTTAGGCCTTGAAAGGCCTCTTTTTGGACCATTTTGTGCTAGCTCCGGGATTTTGGTGTTGAGGTCTCTTCACCACTGAAATCTTGAGGGATTTCAGTGGTGAAGATGATGCTTTGAAGTCCCAAGAAGGAGAGGGCCACCCCCTCTCCTTGTTGTCCTTGAAAAGGGCATATTTTGACCTCTTAAGGAAGCCTATGCTTGAGTGTGTGTTGAGCATGTTTGGTTTGTTTTGCATGCTTATATATCCATAATATAACATGATTTCAAGTTGGTTTTGGAACTTCATGCATGCTTAGCATAGTCGCCATGTAATGCCTTATTTGTGCCTTAACATGTTCTAGGTTGTTAGCCTTTGTTGGAGCATGTTTTAGGCTTGTATTTGTGGAGATTATGTGCTTATTTTGCCATATTTTAGATCTGTCCATAAGTATTTGGGTCGATTTTAGCATGCATTATACATCTCCTTTGTATTTGGGCTTGTTAGCCTTGAGTATGTGCATGTGTAACATGACACCTTTGCATCGATTTGGTGATTTGGGGGTCCCCCCACATGTTATTTCAGTCCCATTTCCATGCTTGTTTGATTGCCTTGCATGCCTCTTTAATGCTTTGGAAGCTTGTGTGGCATTGCTCCATGTTTTGGTGCCTTTGCATGCCTTTGTTTTGAGCCACTTAGATGCCATCTAAGTGGTCCTTAAGCCTTGTATTGATGCCCAAAACCCTGTTTTTGGTTGATAAGCTCATACCATGTTTAGTCTTGCAAGTGTATTTCAATGCTCCTTGGATTTGCTTTGAACACTTAGACTATTTGTTGCATGTTTAGCTTGATTTGTTGCTTGGTTTGGCACCATCCTAACATGCATTTTCAATGCTTATGTTGCATGCTAATTGCTCTTGTTTGTCCCGTTCAAGTGTGCTTGAACGTTACTTGATTTGTGCTTAAGTGTTGGTCTGCCATGTTCTAGGTCTGTCCATAAGTGTTTGGGTCGATTTTAGCATGCATTATATAGAGCTGTCTAATCCATGTATAAGACCACCTTTCCATCTATTTGCATTGCCATATGTATGCATGTATGCTTGCATAAGTGCTTTGCCATGCCATGTTGCATCCTTAGCTTTTATGTTTAGGTTGCATTGCATCTTGCATGCATTCCTTGTCCCTTGACTTGGGTGATAGGGATTGGGAGTTTTGTTTGATTGGTTTGTATGCATTTGAAACCAAAGTTGCATACTTGGTTCTTTGGGCCATCATGCATGGAAATGCGTGATTGGTGGTCGGAGAATCGAGACACATGTCCCTTTGAGTCATTACAATGATAAGAGACATGGTTGGTGCATACATGCCTTGAATTGTGCTGCCATGCCTTGTTTTGCCCTCTGTTGCTGTGAGTTGCAGGTCCTGCAGACTTTCTTTGCCGACCGGCAGTGTAAGGTGCCGGCCGGCAACCTTTTCTCTGCCGACAGCTTCAATTTTGTGCCGATGGACACATACCAGTGCCGGTGACGATCCCACTCAGCCGGTGGTACTCCCTAGTGCCCAGGGATGTAACCCTGAGGTTTTGACAGCCTCCAGAGAAGTGAAGGAAGGAAAACAGAGGCAGCTTGTGCATGGCGGCGGGCTTTTCGAGGCGTCTTACTGTTTTTCTTAGTCTATTTAATTTGTTAATTAAATTAGGCAATTTGTAATATTAATTAGCTTGCGTAGTTAATTAATTTGTAATATTTATTCGGTCCCTTCGAGCGAAGGCAAATCTGTAATAAGTGTGCGTGGGTGGTGTGTATGTCTTCCAACCTCACTTCTTTCTTCCCTTTTACTTACCTGCTTTAATGGTTAGTATTAGGACACGTTTAGTTTAGCATACCTTATGCTATGCATGCGTGCATTCATGCATTTGTTGACATGCA